TTCTGAAATAGGTCCATGCCGTAAAAGATGTTTCGTAAAAGCCAAAATGAGGAAAATTGCTTGGAGCTGCCTGTCAATTGATTGTTCATGCAGAAGTCCATCGAACTATATAGGTTTTGTTTCTTCTTCATTTTTTTTGTTTTTTTTTTTTCCTAATTTAAGAAAAAAACTTGTGATGTTTTAAATTTCTCTCAAGGAATACATCAAAATTATAAGCGTAGAAATATATTTGTTATTTTACTTGTCAAAATAGCATGTCATTGCTATTTTTACAGGTGGTTATAGAAAAATAGCCAGTGTTTGCAAAGCTATTGAAAAGTAACCACTATTTAATATAGACATAAAACCTGGATAAAAGTATCCTCCCTGAAATATAGAAAGTTTTCCAGCTTAATATGCTGAATCAAGAAACTCTTGCGTATAAACTTCCAACATATTATGTTGGAACTCCAGCACATTATGTTGAAATCTCATGACATGTAAAAAGTTCGAATTTCAGCATATGCTGAAATTTTTCCGAAACCTTAAGGATATTTGTTCAGATTTTATTTTTACATGAAAAAGTAGCTTAAAGTTTGATTAATTTTGAAATAATGAAGCAGCTGGAAAAAGGGGTAAATTTCTGGTTTTGCCATGTTCAAAGCCCTTGCTCGAGATGTTTCCCAATAATAGTGTTATTGGTTCTTTTTCCTGGCCAACCCAAGGTTTGATATTTGTTCGATCAGATATCAAATTATTTCTTATCATTAGCATCCTTACTACTTGAAAAAAATAAAAAATTGATCGATTGGCTGACTAATTGCATTAACTAGTCAAAAAATTATATAAATATGTATATAATACACATATATACCAAATATACATTTGTCAACTATTACTTTTTAGAAGCTACTAAAAATATACATTTCCATACAATTTAACCAAGTATAGCAGAAACATCTACTTCCCCTTGAACAACTATTTATTTCCCCTAATTCGAATTGAAGATATTGATATACTAGTTGTCAAAACATAAAACTTAGTCGATTTCTACGTATTCTTGTTTCGAGAGCTAAAAAAGCAAAAGAAAGGTGGGGGTGGGGGGGG